GCGGGAGCGCCGCCACGCTCCCAAGCGGCGCACTCTCCAGTGCGCCACCAGGCCAGCCCATGAGAGTTTTTAAAAAACTGTTTAATAAACTCCAAGGCAATAAAACTGTAAGCTTTTTGTTCATGTTTGCTACCAGACAGGAATCATGTGCAGCTTTAACAGACAGAGTCCATGTGATTGCTATCAGATAAGAATCAAATGCATCGCTCTCAGTTTTGTCCGTGTTATCATCCACCCTCACAGAGTTATAAAATATCAGAATTCATTAAATAGTCTGAAATGAAGGTGCACACCATGGGAGTGCTGGACCGTGCCCCAGCGTGATGTCAAAAGGGCAGGACATTAACTAAGTCATCCTTTCTCCATTTCAGAGTTGTTGTTTTTAAACACTCTTTTATTTTATTTTTGTGTGTGTGTGACTGGTTAGGGGATTGCAACCCTTGGCGTGGTGTTGTCTGCACCGCGCTCAGCCAGTGAGCGCACCGGTCACTCCTATATAGGATCCGAACCCGCGGCCTCGGCTCTCCCAGCGCTGCACTCTCCCGAGTGAGCCACAGGGTCGACCCTAAACACTCTTTTAATCTTGAATAACCTCCCCTCTGGGTTGTTATCTTTAGAATGGCCCACATTTTGCATTTATCTGCTTGTTTCCTCCTAAGGTACCTCAATCAAATGTCATTTTTAAATCAGTATCTGGTTGCTAAAAATAATACCACATGTTGTTAATGGATGAAATTTTTTGGTGCATAAGATTTATTCGATCCTTACAGAATGCAGAAATAATGTTTTATTAATTTATTCATTTTGATCATTCTCCTCGAATTATAATACTTAAGGTTCCCTTTGGGTTCTCAAAAGTAGTGGATGTGAGCTTGGCTTTGAGGGCATGATTCTGAAGCCTTCGTTTGCTTGTTCATCTCAAGCACAGCTGTCCCCTCCTTTTCCTCTGGGATCCTTCGGTGTCTAGCAGAGAGAAGCTTCATGGAGATTTCTTTGAAATGCTGGGCTGGAGGTTAGAGGGGGCTCTCCTTCCCACCCCTCCCCCTGCATCCCTTACCCCTCTTCCTTCTCAGACTTTTCCCAAAGATTCTGACCTTCTGCTTTTTATAGAGCACATAGGCTTCTCCCTTTGACATTAATTTCTGATTTGTTCTCCTTCTCGTAAATATCTTCGACCTCTTCAGCGTGGCTTATTTGCCTGGATTAGCAGGGGGAGCCCCACAAGTACACAGGGCACTTCTTCCTGTGTCCCCTGCAGGAAGAGAGCTCCTGGAAGTTAATGTGGCACCTACTCATCGGGCGAATTAGATAAAGGAAGTCCTCAAACTTAAAAGTAGCAGTCCTCGTCTTCCTTGTGGGCAAACAGAGGAAAGCAACTTAATTCCTCAGCCTTGAATTTGAGAATCCTGCCCCAGATTTCACCCCAAATTATCCTAATATATTTATGTACTTTTATTTTGAAAGTATGAAGAAGTCAAAAAGTAGTACAATGAATATCTCTATACTCTCAACTCAAGAAGTGTTAGTATTTCGCTTCATTTGCTTCATGCTTCTCTTGCTCTCTTTTTTTTCTGACCTGTTTGAAGTCGCAGACGTCATGACATTTTACCCCTAAACACTTCCCTTGCACCCCTTAAGAATAAGAACCTTTTTCCACATCACCACAAGGCTACTAACACACAATAAAAATGATCATTAATTCTCTAACATCATCTAATATTTATTTCACATTCAAATTTTTCCAATTGTACCCAAAATAACTTATATAGCCTTTTAAAGAATCTAGGATCCCATCAGGATTCACACACTGCTTTTGGTTCTTTTATCTCTGTAATGTCTTTTAACCTAAATAACCCCAGTGGTGAACTTAAAACATGTTCACAAATGCTTTGATTTTGCCCATTCAAAACATGTGACTTCCCCTTGAGTGCGGGATGTACTTAGTAACTCACTTCTAACAAACGGAATGTGGCAAATGAGACAGCTTGTGCTTTCTGAGACTAGGTCATAAAAGGCATCGTGGCCGTCTGCTTGCTTTCTCTTGGACCACCTTGTGAGATATTGTTTCTTGTTGTTTTAAATTGTGGAGTAATTTGTTACTCAGCAATAGATGACTAATACAGAGTCTATTTAACTTATTCCTTTACCACCCCTGGTATTTCCTGTGAACCAGAAGTTTATAGGCTTAGTTTCTGGTTAAATGTTGTTGGCAAGAGTTTTTATAGGTTGTTTTAAGAACTTCATGTTACAGTGCGTCAGGAGGTACGTGATGTTAGGTGGACTACTATTAGTGGTGTTAAGTTTGATCATTTGGTTCCATTACTAAAAATCTGATACTACAAGGAAGAGTAGATTATTGTTCAGAAGTCCTCTCCCACTCCACTGATACTCCATGAGGCTTGCTTTGGCCAATAGGATGCAGGTAGAGGCTTAAAGCATGCCTGCGTGTTTGGGCTTGCCTTCCTGTGCTTCTGCCATTACCCTGAGAACAGCTTCTCCCAGATAACTGCTCTCCCTTGAACAGAGCCCCATCCAGATTCATCCCTTGAAGCAGGACTGAAGGAAATGGTTAATGGACTTACGTGGACAGCACCCAAGGACGTGTTCACTTGGTGAACTCGCAAACGAGTTAGCCAAGAAATGTCAAGGATTGCAAACAATCCTTGACAACGCTTGAAGTCGTGAGAACACTTTCTTGGGATGTTCCCAGGAGACACAATATAGACAACCAAGTGCCCCAGAAGGGAGGTAGCGGCCTTCTGCTCTTGAAAATAGTATAGCAGAATTTATGCATTAATGCTTATCTTGCATGCACAGGCTTGCTAAATGTAATAAAAGCTGTAACAGCGGCTGGGTCGGTGCTCTTTGCCTGAGAGAGCAGTGGCCCCCCACTCTTCACCTGCATCTAGTCTGCTACATCTTCCTTCGCGTCTCCGATCATTTTAATCAACACAGGACCATCTAGCCAAGACCAGTCTAGATCAGCTGGTCCGTAGATTTATGAAAATAATTAACTTGTTGTTTTCAGGCACTTCATTTTGGGTTGGTTTTCTAGGCAGCATTTGGTTGTAGGGAGAGGGGAGTAAATAGCTAACTCATACACAGCACAAACAAGATTGCTGCTACCAGTAGGCACTGTTCAACAATCCACTTTTCTCAGAGAATCAGCCTCCTGATCCACAGGTATAGGCATCCAGCAGCCATGTTTGGACTCCGAGAGCCTGTCCCCAGGACCATGGCAGACCAAACCAGGTTAGGCACCCAACCCAAGTTGGGCCTTTGGTTTGGGGGTGAGAGAAAACTAGCTAGTTGGAATATGCTGGAATAGTTAACTGCAGTAGCTATGGGGTGG